GCATCTTGGCTGATTCTTAATTGAGATCAAGTCACCTTAATCGTGTTGCCTCAAACTCTATTTTTTGTATTCTGCGGTCAGACGTTGATGCATATCCTTTCGAAGTAAGATCATTCTATGTTTCATTTTCTTTCGCAACTGACATAGACGTTTCTTTTTGAACTCATATTCTAAAATAAAAAAGATTTAAGATTCTCATAATTTGTATTAGATTAAACAATTGGGGATTTCAAGAGATAGACTCTCACAATCCCTTATTCTTATAGGACTACTCATACATGGTGAGATAAACAATAATCAGACAATAATAAGGAATATTTAGCAATTGAAATAAATAAAGTAATACAACAAAACTAAACGGAAATAAACTTAAAATAGGGATGCAACAAATGTTATTCCAAATTTGTTGAGCAATTACAAGTGAAGGCAAGCAACAAATGATGAAAAAACTCCAAAATGGAAGCAAGCAACAAATGAAAAGTAGTAAGTGATGACTAAGTGTACCCCTTAGGTCTCTCCCCTTTATCTCAAGTTCAAGGCCTCTATTTATACTAAAACTAGCCATCAATCATCCCTAAACACCCATAAATTTGTGTCAAGTCTTAATTACAAACTAGCATAAAGCATAGGGAGGTTATGGATGTCAAAAAGTCACACAACACTTAAAAACCGCTCAAGTTTGTAAATACCTAGAAAGTTGACACGGTCGTGTTAGGGGACACGACCAATCCGTGTCAACTATAACACCTCAATTTTTCAATTAATTATTTAATTGAATTTGTAATTGATTTTATTTTGTTAATTGTGTGATGAAATGTTTTATGTGATTTTTTAATGATTTATTTGGGTACTATGGAGGATTATGAGATTATTATTTAATTAAAATAAGAGAAAATAGGGAATTAGAATTTTGGGGTGAAAACTTGAATAATGAGAAAAATTAGAGTGAGAAAGTGGAATAAAGGAAAGATAGGGGAAATGTGTAGAATCATTAAAATTAACATTAGGTTATTTAAATAGAAAAGTGGGAGAAGGAGTTTTACGGTACATGAGAATTTGGGTAAAGAGGCAAAAGTGGTAAGGAGGAAACCCTAGGTTGGATAGGAGCAACATAACCAAAAGCTTGGATCTTTGTTGGAAATTAAGTTAGAGGGACTCTTTACTCATGGGTGGTTTAGGCAGACGAATATGAAGGGTCCTTACCCTTCTATCTTCTTGATCTTATTCTCTGTATTTTGTTGCTCTTGTATGTGGCCAAAAGGGTTTGGGTAAAACCCTTATGTCGATCAATTGATGTAACGAAATATATCTTTATTGTTATAATATAAAAATATATAATTGTTGTGGTTTGAATCCGTTGATTCCTTGAGATGATCTCTATTTGCACCCTTTAAGGAAATTTTCAATAATTGGATCATGATATATATGTAATTGTTGTTCATATGTGTTTTTTTTAACATTGACCGTAAAAGCCAGGAAAATCGCAAATGGCATTTTTCCAAAAAGTCCAAATTTAACCAAATAGTTAAAAACCTGAAATTGAGTCGAATAAATGGGAGGAACGAGCAGCAAAGTCACGTGGGTCAGAGCCGCAGCAATCGGCAGTGCCACAGTGTGAGGCTGCAGCATGCACTGCATGATCACGCATGGGGGCGGTGCCTGGTTGGCGACAAATGTCATGCTATGTGGCGGCTGAACGCACAACTCAGCGGTGCGATGCCGCATCAGCGGCTTCTAATGCGTAAGTGGCACGCACATGGGTGGCTGGCAATGGTAATTCGCATCTCAGTAGTTCGCAGATCGGGTTTGCTATCTAGTTTGGCGAGTTTTGAGTAACTTTTATGTTTAGTGAATTTTCATTACCATTTTGATGAGTTTTAAGAGACAGAATTATTACTTTAGAGTGGTTTTGATTTAATTACTTGAGTCTGGCCGCCAACCAATAGAGTTTAATCTGAGTTATTATCAATCACACAAGAGTTGCCAATTGAGTACTTTAGATTACTTTAGAGTCATTTAGAGTTATTTTATAGTTTTAGAGATTGTTTTAGAGGTATTTAGATGTCGCCTTGAGAACTCTATTGAGTAGAAGACAAGAGTTGTTATCCTTTTGATGAGTTGTGAGCATACATAAGTTAATTATTACTTTGTTGATGTGTTTTGTAGTATTTTTGTTAGTTGATGAATAATTTTGAGTTATTGAGTAATAATACAATTTTCTCGGTTGTGACTATTTGTGATTATTAATAAAATTATTGAGATGAAAATTTTGAGAGGAATTAGGATGTTGGCCTCACATTGGCAAAATTATAATTCAGAGAGGGATCTTTTGAGTATAATTTATGCTATTTTGAGATTTGTAAATTTTGTTGCCATGTCCATGCATAAATGTATATTGGAGTTAGCTAGGACTTCAGTCCAGTGAGGTCAGGTCCAGAGAGGAACCATGACGGTCTCATGTTTAGAGAGGAACACGATTCATAAAGGAACCAAAGACGGGTTAAATCAGTAACACACCTCTGATACCTAAAATCCCGGTAACACATGCATATTGGAGGAGGAGTATAGAGCATTATGCATTTACATTATAATAATTGTTGTTGTTTATGAATTTATGTGGGAGTGATAATAAATGTTGTTATGACTTTCCTGCTGTTTAATTTCACCGTTAACATTTGTAAAGTTATTATCACCCGTGTTTATTTACTTTTGGCATTATGTACTCTCTTGGGGTACAAATAATCGAAATTGCACGGCGTTGTCAAGTAGTACAAAGATATTGGACTCGGAGGGAGATGCATATGATTACCAAAATTATATTCTAACGTTGTTTAACTAAAGCGATCAAAATAGTGATTTGTTTGGTGCAAAGTGGAATAGAATTAGCAAATAATAGAAATAGGACACAAGGTTTATGATTTTCTATCTAGGCTCACCCCAATGATTATCCATGTTTGATTATGATAATATCCAAGCATTTTTATAAAAACAAGTAGAGAAAAGTGTGTGTCACTCACTTTTATGGTGTGAGAAACTAGACATGTTTATGGCACAACTAAATGATTTAACCAAGAGCGAGAATGCCTTGTCACACGACATTGAATCTTGGTTGATTCTCAATTGAGATAAGTCACCTTGTGAGTAGCTACTCGAACTAAATATTTTAGTAATTTGCGGTCAGACATCAATGCATATCCTTTCAGACTATGATCAAGTCTATGTTGCCTTTACTTTTGCAACCGACATAAACGTGTTTTTTGAACTCAGATTCTAAAACAAAAAGGACTTAAGATTCTCGTAATTCATATTGGATGAATCAATTAGGATTTGTCATTAGATAGGTTCTCATAACCCCTTGTCCTTAGGACTACTTTCATATGGTGATGTAAATAATAAACAAACAATAATAAGGCATAGCTAGCTATTGAAAAAAAAACAAAATAAAACAAAATAATACAACAAAACTAAATGGAAATAAACTTAAAATAAATAAGAAAGAAATGTTATACCAAAGTTGTTGAGCAATTACAAGTGAAAGCAAGAAACAAATGCTAGAAAAACTACAAAGTGGAAGTAAGCAACAAATGAAAAGTAGTAAGTGGTACCTAAATGCCACCCTTAGGCCACTCCCCTTTATCTCAAGCTCAATACCTCAAATTTATAATAAAACTAGTCATCAATCATCTATAAACACCCACAAATTCTTGCCAAGTCTTGAATACCCACTAACATAAAGCCTGTGAAGGTTATAGATGTCAAGAAGTCACAAAAATGCTCAAAAACCATTCAAATTTGTAACTGCATGGGAAGCTGGCACGACCTGTATCAGAGGACACGACTAGCCTGTGTCAGCCTCGGCTTCTTTATATGGGAGCAACTTCAAAGGCCAACACGGTCTGTGTCAGGGGACACGACCAGGCCGTGGTGACCACTTGATCTTTGTATGGACCATTTTCACTCCAATTTGGTCCACTACCCTCTTATTATTTGAAATTATAAAAAGAAGACAAAAGTCCATAAAATTGAACTAAAATGACGAAATAACACATGAAAACAGAAAGAAAACAAACAAAAAATAGGATGCATTTACCACTTATCATGTATCCATTTTCTTGATGTACATCTGACTAATTTACACAATAATCACCTAATTTTATACTCTAATTCATAGTTAAATCAAGCGTTCTAAGTTTGTTATTTCAAAAGGCACAATTTATAGTTATCCATTACTAGTTAATTAGTAAGTTTAATAATTATCTTAGTTCAGATTGTTAGATTTACGATCAATAATCCCTACTCATTTAAGATCTATTTGTACGTTCGTTAACGCGCAAAAAATAATGAACAAAAAAAGAAGTTAAATAATGACTATAACATAAAATAATTCAAATAATCACAAATAGTTATATGATTAAAAAAAGTACAATTAATTTCTTCTCAAATGATCTAATCTAAAATAACTTAACTATTCATAATAAAATTAACCATTACCATAAATTGATAAAAAATACTCATGAAAGTCAATGAAAAAACATAATCGGCTTCAAAACTATTCAAATAGAAATCACTTTACATTCAATTTAATTTACTTTCAATTTAATTTTAATATGAATCAAATTTGTACAATTAAATTACTAAAGTCATTTTTTTCTTTTTTTTCTTTTTCATAATAGTTTCGTCAACGATATAATCAAGAGTTTACTAAGCAATAATATCATAAATTAATCATTACACCTAAGGGTGTTTTTTTCCCAATATTTTTCAACTATTCCAATCTGCAATAAGACAAACCGTAACTCTCCCATAAACGACAACAACCAATAAACAAAGCAATATAGCAACATCCTAAAAAATGACAGCTAAGAAGTTTATGTAACAAAGTTTCTATCATCATTAAACATTGGTTTCTCACTTCATTATAAAATGTAATTCCAACAAGAAATTAAACCCTTCCAAATCTCAAACCAATCTCTTCATTATTATCATTCTTTGTTGTTGCCATGGACATGCCTATGCCTCCGTCTGTATCAAATGGCACAACCACCATGATGATGATGAACATGCAAATGAGTTTCTACTGGGGCAGAAAAGCCACAGTTCTTTTCACTGGATGGCCTAATAACAACCTTGGAATGTACATCTTAGCTATTTTATTTGTGTTCTTTCTAGCCATGGCTGCTGAGGTTTTGTCGAACCAACCTCCCATCAAACGCGGGACTAATCCTCTCATTGGAGGGTTGGTTCAGTCCTCGGTTCACTTCTTTCGAATCGTTTTCATTTACTTACTCATGCTTGCTGTCATGTCCTTCAATGTTGGAATCTTTATTGCTGCTGTTGTTGGTCATACGTTGGGATTCTTTGTTGCCCGGTCGCGTGCTATTGCCGTTGCTAATGGAGAAGATCAACGTTCATCTTCGGTCACACTTAAAATTTGAATTATCATGTATTAGAGTCTATAACTACATGGTACATCCTCCGGTTTTAAGTATAAGTTAGAAATCATATCAAATATATTTGATCTTTAGCTTATGTTTAAAATCGGAGTACATGATTTTATGATGCATGGTTTTCTCAAAGCTTAATTTTCACTATGTATTATAGATTGGTGAGTACTTAGATGCTTTTGTTTGCTAATTAAGCTTTCTTTAGTATGATGTGTTAAAAGTTTTCTACCTTGTTTATGTAAAGGTTGGACAAGCCAATAAGTACCTGAGCTAGAGATAAAATGAACTAAATAATGCGCAGTTTACTTCTCTGGAGTCATGTGTGTCTCTCTAGTAAACTTATATCAATAGTTAGATTAATCTTCAAGGTTTATTTCTCATATGCTAGATACCTCTTTAAACTTATCTATGTATATGTAAACCAAGTTACACACACTAACTGAGGACATGGTAGGAATTGATTGTTCAAGCATGATAAATAATTAAGACACTTTAGGAAATTTTAAATGCTATAAAAAGTAAACATAATTTTCGTAATACTAATTCGTATTCGAGGTAACTCAATCTCACAAAGCCGATTTTATTAGTTAATTTAAATGACATCAACTTTGATTTACAAAATACACCAATTAAACTAACATTTCCTTAGAAAACATTTAACTTTGATATTAATACACAACAAGCAAGGTATAGAGACTACCATTGTCTTCCCTGTTAGCAACAAGAGATGATAATCTAAGAAAAATCATTATACAGATCCATATCTAAGAGAAAATCATCCCAATTCCATTGACTACTACTACAACCTTCTCCTCCACTTACCATAGCTTCAAATCCTTCTAATTGAAAATCCATTGGAAACTCACCACCACCAACCATACCTTGTTGGTCCAAGCATGAATACATCATCATGTCTTGTTGTGTTTCAAGCATATGATTCTTTCCATCAGCATCCAATGTTGTTGTGTCATTCTCTTGTTGAACTAGAGCTTGGTCGATTTGTGACGCTTCTTGGCCCCTTTTTTTCGATGAGCTAGAAGCGATGTTTCTTGGTTGCGGCCTAATGATTTCAACATTTTTAGATAATTGTGGTCCTTCTTGATCAGCTTCTAGAGCATTTAGTTTTTTGCTTAGATGACAGTTCCAATAGTTTTTCACATCATTCGCTGTTCTTCCCGGTAACCTTCCCGCAATTAAGGACCACCTGAAAAAACCCAGGACGTGTTTGGATAAACAACTTAATTAACGTTCATCGTATAATACACCTTTGTTACCTGTTGCCTAATAATTTGTGGAGTTTGACAATCATTTCCACTTCCTCATCAGCAAAGTTTCCTCGTTTGATATTAGGACGAAGATAGTTTAACCATCTTAGCCTACAACTCTTTCTGCATCTGTTTAGACCTTTAACATAGCATCATTTGAGAAAAATTGTAATCAGTTGTCTAAGGATCATAAATAGGATTATTATACAATTTCTATTAGTAGAACAGATTAATCTTAGTCGTAGTCCTAAAACGAAACAAACATAGATTAATTCAATTGATAAAGATGATTTTGTGATACCACATATTAAGACTTCGTGGGTGATAATATATATGCATTCCTATAAAACGCTCTCTGGCAAAAAATCCAACTCGGCTCAATTTACCTCTATATAGAAAGTCTTCAAACTCAAAGATTAATTCTATTTTTAATTAAGAGTTAGACACTAATTTTTCTAAATAGAGAGATGTGTTTAAAATGTTGATACTAAACTCAAATTACTATAGATAGATTAAATTATGATCAAATATTTAAAATATTCAGCAAAATCGAGGTTTTGTTACAACTAAACCAATTATTAATATTAAAACTTCGTGGACAATTTTATATATATATATATATATATATATATATGTATATATATATATATATATATATATATATATATATAAGACTTTTCTAAAGTTTAAATTTTTCTCTAATCTTGTAAATTTCTATAATATAAGAAATTAATAAACAATTACCAGCCAATAGAGGAACCCTATGCCACTTTCCTTCACCATATTGTTGTATACATTTCTTAAGCAAATGATCTTCTTCTTCTGTCCATGCAACACCCCCCATCTCTCATAAAACTCCACAATCACTACCACTTTTCACCCTCATAATCAACCCACTTGCATCTTCTTTTATATACACATCAACACATGTTTTTTGAATTAAGATATGCCAACCAAACAAGCCAGCAAAGCAAAGAGTAATATACAATGTCGTTTGCCAAGAAAATGATAGTAAATGGTCCATTGCTCTTTCTAAAACTCTGATGCCAAGCTCTATGTTTTTAAATAGACATCATAAGTATCCAATTGTGGTCCTCATCATCTCTTTTAACTTAGATATCATCACATTACAACATACCAATTTAACTATTCAAAGCCAAACCTATCCCATCTGTTTGTTTATGTCATTTGTCATCTCTTTCTGATTAGGATAGGTGTTATAACTACAAAAATGTCGACTATCTAAGTCTTTCACAGTGCATAAAGTTAGTTATCAAACATGGACGTGGATCCTCTATGGCCCTTTTATATAATACTTCAATCAAATCTCTCAATCATAATTTTAATTTGGATCTTCAACTGTAATTGTGTCCACAATTTAAATGTTTTAGAGGTCTTTGGACTAACTATAGATCTAAAAAATTCTCAAACTAAGTAGAATATGAACAATATATTTATAAGTGAGGGGAAGTATTTAACTTACAAGTTAATTTTTGAAGATTGAGTTAGAATTAATTCAAATTTTAAGATGATAATTAAATTTTAAGTTAATTTTTGAAGATTGAGTTAGAATTAACATACAAGCTAAGAAATACAACTACAGGTAACATGCTATTCATTCAAAACATAGCTCATCATTTTAGAAATGTACTATATCCATACTTGAAAGACAGTTGGAGATGTAAGAGGGCCCCTATAAAATCCAGCTATCGCACCTTCGGTTAGGCCTTTTTCAATAAATTAAAAATAAAAGAGATGGATAGTACATAATTTTCTTAAAGAAAACATAATTAGTTCAAATTAATGATTGAAAACTAGAAACGTTGAACCAATAAAAGAAACAAAAGAAACACATCTTTGCACTTGAGCCATAGAACATTGAAGCAATCAAAAAGTGAACTAACTATCCATAAATGTAGTTTGGGATAGCCTTTATTGATGTCTTGGCCCTCTTAACTAGGTTGCTTGGGTAGATCTGTGTTTGCGGTCCATGCATGCATAGATTCCAAGATAAAGACAAATAGAAAGACTAGTTCAAATCACAATGGTCCTTGAATCTTGGTTTTTTGTTGTTGCTGTATGATGTGATGCTTATGTTGCTTTCATTATTGAAAGTTGGGACCTATCTTCGATTCTTACTTTCTCATGTTGCACATGGTTGTACTTCTATTTTCGGATAAAGCACTCTAATCATAACAAGAGAAAGCCATGCATAAAATGTGATAGACAACTATTTAGGACATGATAATTTTTTTTTACCCTCAATCAATGAAACTCACTTTTCTTTTTTACTTCACCCATTTGCAGACTTCATTTTTTTAAGAAAAGCTAATGAGTTATAGTAATATTCTATGTTCTTAGTTTTTTATATATGAACACAAGGAATCACTAAGTTGATGAGATTTTCAAGCCTCATCCATTCCTTTTTCAAATAGAGGCTTGTTAAATAGAGAAGGTATATTTAAAGACATTCTAAAATTTTAAAGTGAGACGTGATTTAACTAAAATATTAATGTAATGTTCTTTTAAAATTTTGTTATCCAGACTTGCGATCGATTAATGCAAGAGAATTAATTGTACTATTTATTAGCGGAGATTTCATTTAAAGGCAGAACAAAGCTCTGAATAAACTGTCACAACCCAATAATTAATTATACTTAGTAGGATTCGAATCTGAGACCTTGAGAGAAGCATACTCATAAGATCCAAGTCTCCACCATTAAGCTAATTATTGAGGGTTAATGTTTGTACTTTGGGAATGCAGTGATAGGGGTGAGCTTAAAGTCCACCCATCAAAATCAAAGGAAAAAAAAAAGAAATAAAAAAACATACAACGCAGTAAGAAGAAAGAAAGGAGGTGTGGAAAAGGAGTTTGCCCAGGGTCAGAAGGCTGAAAGGATGCTAAGCCCGGTTCAATAGTCTAAGAGAGTCAAAATAATGACTCAATCTTGGACATTTGATCAGAATGTCAATGAGGTCAATCATGATCCAACGTAAGATAATGAAGGCGTATGACACAAATTATGGATCTTCCTACATGGGACCACTGGTCAATGAAAGCGATGTGACTCTCGTGAAAGCGAGGGAGATGGAATAAAAAGAAGGAAAATCCGCCTCCACTTTCATTTTTGTTTCACTTTTTTCTCTTTTCACTAACTTCCTCTCTCTATCCTTTATGCCAACAAACACCAAATCCACTCATATTCCACACATTTTAAAATCAAATACAGCAAAAATGAAGAAAAAAGGGATGGACAATTTGAATGTTCATCACAATATTTTTCTTGAAATTCGCAAAACTTCTCAAAACCAAAAGTCATCAACACACACTCAATCTCATTTACTCTCCTAATTACGAATCTAATATCAAAATCATCAAACAAATCATAACAAACACAGATCGACCCCTATCAAAAAAAAAAAAACCTAAATCCCCAAATTCAATATTATGTTCAAATTACAGACTATTTACATCAATTGAAAGCACGAAAGCAATAAATATGCAAAGAATTACATAAATCAACATGAAAGCGAAAAGGAAAAAAGGAACAAACGACCTCACTAAAATATGGAATTTCTAGATTTCCAACAAGAACTCTAACGAGTAATCACCTTTAAGTACGTGAGCTTGCTACACTATTCTCTTTCTTCTGCTACGTCTCTTCCTCCCTTCTTCTGCTATGCTTGTGATAAGGAAATGATCGAAGATGAGGCTAAGCTCAACCTGCTCAAAGCTTTAAAGAAAAGCTTAAGAGGTTACGAGGAAGAGCTTAAGGAGTTTTAAGAGTTGTGTAGCGGCACAAATTGTAAGTGTAAGCTATTAATTAACTTAACTCATAAAGCAAGAGTCACCACCACACTTTTATTTAAGGAAATGAAAAAGAGTGAACAACACCTAAACAAGTTCTAAGGAAAGAACAAATGAACAAAGACTGGATAAGGGGGTTGGTTACACTAAAGGAAGGTGTTAGCACCTAAAACGTCTATAGTACTCTATATGAACCCTTTGAAATATCTACGCTTTTTGGTTTGAAAAAGTTTGTTTGAAGTGAGATTGGAGAGATGAGAAGAGAAATATTTTTTAAGATTTTTGTGTTTGGAGAGACTTGTCGCCTCATGCCTACGTACCCACAAAGTACAATATAGGATAAAAACTTCGTAGTACGTGATACAAATAACAAAGTCGGTTTTTTATGGTTGATTTTAAGTGAAAAGACATGTCTTCATTTTCCAAGCTAATAGTTCCGCTTAAAGAGATGACTCATGTCTAGGCTTATGGAAAAAATTTAAAAAGAAAAATTGCATAAGGCACAAAAGGTTTGAATAAGTTTGAATGTTTTTTATGTCTTTTTGAACAGAGTCAAAGTATGATTAAAATTGATTGACATTTATTAAAGAAAAGGAAGTTTGAAAAAAGCACTTGACAAAAGTCAAGGTTTAATTGTAAAAGAGGTTTAATTTTGAAAACAAGAAGGTTTTTAAAAAAGGGAGAAGATTTGAAAATTGAAGAAGGGGTGAAGAAGAAGGGACTATCCTAGACTAAAAAGATAAAAGCTAAGGATAATAACAATCTAACCACACAAGCAAACTTCATAACATAAGCATCCATTCCTTTAGATTAGGCCTTATTCAAAATAAGTCTTCAAAGGAGAACTCCAAGTATTCAAAATCCAAGGTTTGACATCACAAGCTTCTAAGCATAGGTTAAAATCCTAGTTCTAGGTCCAAAATTTCATGTACAATGCAAAGGATAGTAACCATAATACACCATTAAGAAAACAGTTTTTTAGGGGTTTATGCCTTTATTAATATTTTTGGACAAAATATGGTCGACGTAGACAAAAGAAAAAGAGAGCGAAAACACAAACAATAATATGATATGAGATGATAATAATGGAGTATAAAAATAAAAAAGAGATAGGGAGCAATAAAGAAACATAAGAAAAATTAGTACAATAATATTGTTAGTGAGTTAGTGATTAGTTGTTAGAACAAATGGTCAACGACGGTTAAATAATGAACTTAGGCCAAAGTTAATGAAGACTCATTAAAGGATTGATAAAATCAATGCCTCCTAACAACAAGTTTCATAAGTAATGGCCACAAGAAAAATAATCAACCATACTTGAACATTCAAATATAAGTTTGAGCCACAAATGATCATTTTCCAATACAGGACACATGTGGCACTATGTTAAACAATCGTAATTGGGCTTATGTAGAAGCCACGACTATCTGAGGCCGATCAATAAAAATGTTTGTACTAATGTATGCTAGAGAGATGATATTTAGATCATCCTCCGAAAGCAATACCGTACGAAAAGAAAATAGTTAATGATCTCATCTTCATCAAGAAATAAAATAAGTTCCAATGATATTGAAGATTTTCATTGATTAAAAAAATGAGAAATAGATGAAGAAATGCCAAACTGAACCACACAAAGATGTAATCCAAGTCAAAGAACAAAAGGAAAGGGAAGGAAAAGGCAATGGAACCAAAATAGTGCCAAAAACAATAAAAAATGACATTCTGGACACTGGTTAATCGATTAACCATTTGCATGTGCAAATGTGTTAATCAATTAACACTGTTAAGACAACAAATTTTTTTGAAACAAATTCAGCATTCATGATCCAACCATTTCTTCAAAAACCTCATGATCATGAGTGAGAATTAGCACGAAAATTCAAGCAAAACAACAACCAATATCACCAATAAAACACAATTTTCAAGATCAAAAAATCAAGCAACAAGAATCAACAATAGATAACATTGTGGAAGATGGATCAAGAACAACAATGGTGGAATAAGGGTTTACCATTTCAAATATGAAATTGCTTCAA